CCCCCCCCCCCAAAAAAAGAAAAAACCCCAAGGGGGCAACCCCCCGGGGGGGGGGCACCAAAAAAAAACCAACGGGGGGGGGGGGGGGGCCCCCCCCCCCCGGGGGGGGGAAGGGCCCCCCCCCCCCAAAAAAAAGAAAACCCGCCCCCCCCGGGGGGGCCCCAAAAAAAAAAAAAAGGAAAAAAAAAAGGGGAACCCGGGGGGCCGGGCCCCAAAAGGGACGGGAAGGGAAAAAAACGGGGGGCCCAAGGGAGGAAGGCCCCCCCCGAGGGGAAAAACGGGGGGGGGGGGGGGGGGGGGCAGTGTGTGACGGGGGGGGGGTAAACGCATGCCGTAGTCGTTAGACCGTGTCGGGACGAAGGAGCGATATGCAGGCTACGTTTCACAAGGACGGTCCAGAAGTTGGTACTCGGTTGTGTGTGTGCGTTGATGCCTTCAACGCGGACAGCAGTTGAAGCACGTGTTGGACACGTTTGGGCCGAGGATAGTCACGTAGTCCGCCAGAGATGGGAAATAAGGGGGGGATTATGTGTAGGTTATGGCCATGCTCGATAGCATCGCGAAGAGTTTTGCCTTGGCGTAGAGGGGGGAGGGTTTGCGGCTACATGGCTGTATGGTTTGAGAGAGATCTGGCTACAAGCTGTTTGTTTTGTTGTTGGTGGTGTTTTGCGGAGTTGCGCTTTTCCCACACGCGGTTGGCTTGGCGGTTGCGCGACACTGCATCCGTCCCCGTGCCTGGGGTTGTTCCCAGACACTGTCAATAACAACAGCAGCAGTGCTGCATGACACCCCTACTCCCCCCCTTTACCATCGCCGGAGCCCCCCCTCCCCTCCCAACAGCTTCTATCGCTCGCGTTCTTCCCACGCACGTGTATGCCCTGCTGCGTGCGTGTTCAGCTCGATTCAGAGCACCCTTGATCGCGAGGTCCAAAAGAGGTTTCAACGGCGCTATCCCGGTGCAACAGGCAGTGCCTTGGCTCCCTTGGCCAGGCACAACATCCTGGCCAGATTTGCGAGCGGCCTGAAGCCGAACGTTCGCACGGTGAGCGAAGCCTCGGTCAGGGTTAAGGCTAAGGTTGCCCAGTAGACGATGGCGGCCTTTGGCGGTGAAGCTTTCGACGACGTTTGCCGTGGAGACAGCAGCGACGGCGGTTGACGTTGAAGCTGGTTTCCAATAGGCCACGTTGTTGCCTTTGCCGTAGAGATAGTGACGGCAGTTGACGGAAAAGCTGGTTTCCAGCAGGCCATGTTGTTGCCTTTGCCGTAGAGATAGTGACGGCAGTTGACGGTGGAGCTTACCAGGACGTTTGCCGTGGAGACAGCAGCGACGGCGGTTGGAGGTGAAGCTGGTTTTCAACAGGCCACGTTGTTGCCTTTGCCGTAGAGATAGTGACGGCAGTTGACGGTGGAGCTTACCAGGACGTTTGCCGTAGAGACAGCAGCGACGGCGGTTGACGATAAAGCTGGTTTCGAACAGGCGACGTTGTTGCCTTGCCTTAGACGATGGCGGTCGTTGACGGTGAGGTTTACCAACACGTTTGCCGTAGACAGCAGTCTTCCGCCTAAAATCAGGATGTTTTGACACCAAACTTAGTCGAGCGCCAGCGGTGTCGGCCAGCTAGAAAATTGTGGGCACTTGAGTTCTGTTTCTCTAGGGTGCTGGCTGGTCTTGACGTCGGCTTGCAGAACAAATCAAGGTAGCCAAGCCGTGGTTCACGTGCCTGCTGTATCGGTCGCTCGTTGGGCGTTGGGCAGGCTCCTTTTTGCTAGGGGAACGCAATCGTCCGGGCAGCAGCACCTTTTTCGTGTATTATTGTTGTTCCCCCCCGCTTTCTGTGTCTTTCCCCCCTCGCCGTTGCCGTTGTCTGTGCTGATTGTACTGAGCTCTGAAAGAGTGCACCCTTAACGCCTCCATTTTGTGTCAAACCCTAAACGTGTTGACCCTCCCTCTCGTTCCGGACGGCGTGGTTTTTTGTTGTTGTCTTCATTCATATTGAGGTGTCTGTGCTGATTGTATGGAGCTCTGTGACAGTACACCCAGAACGCCTCCATCTGGTTGCAAACCCTCAAACGTTGGTTCTTGCTGATCCTCCCTCGGTGGCGTTTGCGCGTGTTTTCGTGTGTCACAGGTGATTTTGCCGAATGGCAAGCGTGACGTCACGGTGGCCTGCAACGATCGGGAAGCCTCCTACGCGGCTGCGCGGCTGCCCTTCAAGGAACTGTGGACGGTGCGCGGTGCTGTCTCTCGTGTTTGCTACTGCTGTTGTTGTTGTTCTTGGCGGTGGTGGTGGTGATGTTGCTGTTGTGTTTGTTGCTGTTGCTGTTGCTGTTATTGTTATTGTTACTGTTGCCGTCGTTGTTGTTGTTGTTGCTGCTGCTGCTGCTGCTGTTATCGTTGCCTTGACGTTGAGAACCGCCCCGTCCGCTGCTCTATACTTTCTCGTTGTTCCCTCTACATAAATTTCTCAATTGTCGTCGTGTCGCATCCCTGCGGGTTGTCTTTCTGTCTGTCTCCAGCCTGGAACGGCGCACGGCGCCATCCGTTTCGGACGCGTGAGCAACATCCCCTTCAAGTTGGACTCGACGCAACCGTCCCCAGAGAAGCGCAAGGTGACCAAACGAAAAAAGCGGTCCAACCAAACTTTCGTGCCGTCCCACCCTAAAATAATAAAAATAATGGAACGAGGGGGAACTGGCTACCGCCATACTTGTGATGTAAGGCGGGAAGGGAAGTGTTGTACCAGGGAGTCTCCCTTACGGCCCTCTACTGACCCTTGCCGTCCTTGTAATCCGATGCACGGTCGGCCCTGTTGGACGTGGGACGCACTTCGTTGTTTTTTTTAGACTGATACCGGTGCCCGCCGGCCTCTCTTTCCTCCTTTCGCATAAGGAGAAATGCGGCCTGGATGCCTGCTGGGTGTGTTTCGTGTATTTTTTTCAACTGTTCGCATCGACCGCGCTGACCGTCTGACCAATGAAAAAACGTTGGTCTGTTGGCGGGATTTCAAAACGCGATTACGCTTTCCAATCAAACGGTTCTACCGACAGGGAAGAGCGTAGGAGTTCGACGATTGTGTGTTGGTGTCTTTAATTTGGACACGGACCGTGGTGACCGACCGTCCAGTCGAAAAGACGTCCGTACCAGCGGGTACAATGACGTGGACCAAAACCCAAGCAACTCGCAACGCGTCGAATGTAATGTGAATGCCAAAACCAGTGCAAGGGGGTATGTATTGGGATCGCCTGCGCTAACGAACGAGCTGACCAATGAAATCACCTCTTGGTCTGCGTGTTCATTCGAGCGTATGCGTACGACCGACGCCCCCCTGCCGGGGCCCATAATCGAGGCGCTACAGTACTTGCATCGGCTATGTTGTACCCCAGCGATTTTGGTCGGAGCGCGCGCGTGTTTTTTTTTTGTTTAATCTCTTCCACCGATAGGAGTCCGGGATAGATTAGCATACATAGTGTTGGGTGATGGCCAACTTGTACTTATACGGTTCGCCGAGCAGGGCACAAACAGCGATATCTCCACCGTGGGTAGATTTTGGATAAACGTTTATTTATAATTTTAGCAGGCTCAACAAGACAGCTCTCTCTCTCTTTCTCTCTCTCTCTCTCTCTCTCTCTCTCTCTCTCTCTCGCCCTTTTTTTTGTTCTTGGTATGACAGAATCCATCTCCATGCATAGAAAAAAGTCTAAGATACATTAGCAATGAATTCATAGCGTCAGCGGAGACTACCTGTATTTCTACGGTTTCCCGAGCAGCACAGAGCGACATCTCCCCTGTGGCTAACAGGGCCCACAAAGACAGCTACGTTTTTCCTCTTTCTTTTTTCTTCGTCATTGCAGGAGTACTTCGACCGTTTCGTCTCCAAGACCCCGATGCCCCGCAGCCTCTGGTACCCGACCACGCGGGTGCCGAGCTACTACGACCGTTACGATTCCGGGGCTGTGGACATTGCCAAGGAGGAGGATAAGGCCTTCCTAGAGCATGTTAGGCGGTGTTACGAGGTAGATCTGGTGGACGTGGAGACGGAGGCCGTCTTCGATCCCGTCGCCAACGCTGGTTCGTTTACCGTGGAGGTCATCCTGCTCAGGAAGGTGAGCCGGTCGCTCGTGGTTGATGAGTTTTTTTTTTTTTTTGCCTGGCTTCGGTTGTGAGTCTCTGTCTGTCTTGTCTTTCTGTCTGTCCTTCTCTCTCTCTCTCTCTCTCTCTCTCTCTCTCTCTCTTTCTCTCTCTCTCTCTCTGTTTTGTCTCTCCCTGTCTCTCTACCTCCTCTCCGTTTGTTGGCGTCGCATTGTGAAATATTTTGGTGCTGTCATTGTTTGCTCGCGCGAACCACAAGCCCAAGGCGATCACTGGGAGCCGATGTCACTGGCGTTTGCCTGTTCGATACACCCTCCCTACGTCAGCGCTGAGTCGTCGAATCCTGATGCTGAAGTCATTTCAAGCATACGCAATTCTCGTCTGGACCCACCCCCCCTTGTTTTTTTCACTCCCGCTCCGCTCGATGTCCGCCGCGTCCATCCTTGTATTTCGACACGAGCTCTATGTTTCTTCCCTTTCTTGTTGCCCCCGGCCCCCCTTTTTCCGGCCCCGTCCTCTCGGGGACACATGGTTAACGGTCTAAATATTAAGGCATGCAACACCCCCCCCCTCCCCCCCCTCCCCCCGAAAAGGTCATCACCCGTGGCACGAGCTTGGCGGCGAGATCTCCAGACTTGACCCCCCTGGTGGAGCGCTGCATTCTCAACCGTGTCCACAAGAGGCCTACCCTCGCGGAGATTAAATCCCGCCATCTGTCCTCCTTGACAGCAGCAGCTGCAGCAGGCGTCAGCGGAGCGGGGGCCGGCGCTTCTTCTGTGCTGGGGAGAGAGTTTACCCCGTCCACCAAGGTGCGCCCGCGGCGGGGGCCGCGCGCGCTTGGGTGTGCGGTGTTTGCACAGCGGTTCTGAAGAATAGGGGAACGTGCGGCTTGCCCTCTATGCACCATTTTTTGGGGGGGCGCGGTGTGCACAGGACTTTTGGTTCGAGTTTCTCCTTCCTCTACGCTACATTCTTGTTGATGCGGTCTTGTGTGTTGCGCTGCAGTTTGTGGGTGTCTTGTGTGAGCGCCTGGTTGTCCCGCCCTCGTTTGACCGGGGGAGGCACGAGGTTCACGCACCAATGGTGATATTTCTACCGTGTGACAACAATGTATATTGTGTGACTGTTTCCTCGGCACTTGGCTTTCTGTATCCCAGGGCGTCCACGGCCTTACGATTCGACAATTGCGATCTTGTGGAGTATCATGTATCATGTTTTGATCATGACATTACGACCTTGTGGTGCATCATGTATCATGTTTTGATCACGACATCGCGATCTTGTGGTGTATCATGTATCATGTTTTGATCATGACATTACGACCTTGTGGTGTATCATGTACGACCTTGTGGTGTGTCATGTATCATGTTTTGATCGTGACACTACGACCTTGTGGTGTATCATGTATCATGTATCATGTTTTAATTACCCCACGTACGTCGTCCGTTACGAGAGCGCGTGTGTTTATAGCAACGATGAATTTTCTATCCCCGAAGGCTTATACAGGGCCCAGATTTATTTGAAACTGGTAACGCGTGTATCAGGGCCCAGTTTTGGTTGAAACTGGGAACGCGTGCGTCCATGTTTACGTGTGTGTCTGAAGCAACGATGTGTTTTATTTCCCTCACTAACTAGTCCCCGTTCTTTCCTTCGTATTCAGGATTACGGGGGGTATGCCTCTGTCGACGTGAGCCTGTCGGGGCTGATCAACAGCGTTCGCGACGAGGAGACGAACTCGTACATCGAGGGAGGGCAGATCCACCACCCTGCCAAGGTTGGTACGGTTCATGTGCATGCCGTAGGTGACATGACGTAAGATATCACACCCCCTGGATCGATATTCCGAACTCGATTTTTGTCCACAGCAGAAGAAACAGTGGCAGCGCCGTCCACGACGGTGGCTGTTGAAACCGTCTCGTCGGGGAGAGATTTCGGAAGAGGTTGCACAACTGCCGTGTCGACGCTTGTTTTGATGGCTGCAGAGGTTTTTTCGCAGTCAAAACAAGCACAGGTAGAGATGGTATTGCATACACGTAGACTGGCGTTGTAAAGTGTTGGACAAGGCTGAGGGTAAACCAACATGACGGCCGTTGGGCACGACTCCAATTTGGACGAGAGAGGTTAGTTGTACATCCTCTTCGTCGTGATGTAGTCGGGCTTTTGAAAGTCGGTCCAGGGGGTGTGATATCTTCCGTCATGTCACCTACGATATTCACTCTCAGAGGAAGTGCTGTTCTCTGGCAGTTTGTGTAAGTCTCTTTACTCCTTGAGTATATTTTGAAGGCGGTCGAATAGGTTTTGCCTGAACTAGAACGTGGTGATGTCACCTTTTATGTTGTGCATGAACCCAGAGTTTTTTTCTTGTTTTGCCGTTGAGAAGGCAAGTTTTGCGTTGTGCATGACACGTCTCGTGCGTTGTCAAACTAGTAGACATACCACACATTTCTCCAAGTTTGGGTTTTATTTAGTTTTCGAACGAATCTATCCACTTCGTCGCGAACGGCGCTGCCCGGAAAAAATATGTACCGTGTGCCACCGTTCCCCCGATAGTCCAAGGCAGCTATTGCAGGCGGTTGTGCCGCGTTGCTTCGATCCCGTTGCGTGTGTGTGTTCAACTCGTGCTTGCTGTTGCCCATCCTTCGCAGCCCTGCTGCCTCGCCGTCTGTCTGTCTGAAGACGACGGTAAGCCAATGAGACACTTCGGTAGTTCTCGAGGGATCGGATAAGAACATCCAGACGCAGGCAGTCATCGAAGCCAACCTGACCACCTGATCTCCCTTCGTCATTTGACCCCCCCTCTCCTCCGTCCCGTGGCATGCCAGGCCTATACTCTATCGACGACGGCATGCGTTTACATGAGTACGGCATGCGTGTACATGAGTACCGTATACGACACAAGATAACACACCCCTGGACCGATTTTCAAAGCTCGATTACTCCACGAAGGGGATGCAAAAACAAAACGATACGTTTTCGGAGAGCTCTGCACCAGACGGCTTCAACGCCGCCATTTTCGGCGCCGCGACTCTTTCTGCTGTTGATAAATCAAGCTTTGAAAGTCGGTCCAGGGGGTGTGTTGTCTTGTGTCGTATACGGTACACCCCCCCCCCCCCACTCCACTTTACCCTTTTTCCCCCCCTCCCCCCATACTTTCTTGCCCTTTGTCCCACACAAATGCAACTGGAATCTAATGCCTAACCCTATTTTCTTGCCTTTTTCCTTCACACAAATGCTGCTGGAACTTGAAAACCCCCAACACCCGTCCCTCCCCAAACAACCCCACTGCCTTACCGTGGAACTGTACCAACACCAAAAACAAGACCCCCAATGGATGATGGACCAAGAAAAGCTCCAAGGCCGCTCCCTGCACCACCTCTGGGCGGAACTCCCCCCCCACCACCTCCCTCCCCCTTTAAAAATATGCCCCTTTTTCCAAGCCTTATCCCTAATCTATCCCCCTTACAACTGCCGTGAAAACCTGGCATTATCCCCATCTGCCTACACCCCCAGTGCTGTGAACACTGATTTTAAATGAAAACAAAAAAAATTACATATGCCCACCCACCCTCCCCGCAATACCAATATAAATGCCATAATGCATATAATCTGGCCTGTTCGAAGCCTCATCCCCTCCTATCCCTATCCCCACCCT